AAAAAAGAGTCTTTTCAATTATTTCAACTGTGACTTCCAGACACTCAGCTTTGTCCTGCTGTTGCCTGGTAGGTCATGAAGTGCTCTCTGGAGCCAAATATCTTCTTCTGGAGGGCTGCAGGGAGAAATCCTTCACAACTCTAATGAAGTTGCCTTTTAACCTTCATTCAGATAAGCAGATCAAACTGCTCATCGTTGCACTGTAAGCCATGCAATTAGTATAATTATTAGCAGCCACCTCCCACCCTCTTGAAGCGGGCTCCTGAAGTCTTGCTCAAGGAATGGGCTGGAGGCTGTTGGCCACACAGCTACACGCTCAGATCCAGCAGCTGAGCCTCCCTCTTTGCAAGCCACATGCCCCAAGTGCAAGCCAAGGGCTGCATCAGCCTCAGCTGAGCTTTGGAGAGCCCTCTTCTAAGAGGTTCTGACTCAGAAGTGGCTGAAGACCACGGACACAGTCCTGGCTGCAGTGGGTTAGGAAACCCCACCACAGCTGCAGAAGGTGGAAACCTTTTCCGCTGCCTCAGTTAAATGTGAATCAAAGCTCAGGCCCTCATTTCCTCTCCCTTTAAAAGGTTAATAAACAGAAAACAGGTCAATCATCATGAGGCACAGGCACAGGCATACAGTGGTTTGCAGAACTGGCATACTAGAGCGCAAAAAACATTTAGGTTTAGATTGGATGTAAGGAAAAATTTCTTTACTGAAAGAGTGGTGAAACATTGGAAGAGGCTGCCCAGGGAAGTGGTGGAGTCCCCATCCCTGGAGGTATTTAAAAGACGTGTAGATGAGGCACTTAGGGACATGGTTTAGTGGACATGGTGGTGTTGGGTTGATGGTTGGACTCGATGATCTTAGAGGTCTTTTCCAACCTCAATGATTCTATGATTCTATGATTCTATGATTTATTTGAGTCATATACGGTCAAAGCTTATCTAGGAAGCAGCAGAGAATAACTTTCCTTCATGAATAAACATGACTTGCAGAGCTCTGGCACGGCTCTCAGATGTGACTAGGTTTGGATCAGGAAAGAAATGAATGGCAGTAGGCTGGTGCCACGCACTCACTTAACCCAGGTGAATTCCCAATTCAGAAAAAAAAACCTTTCAGCACATCTTTCATCCACACCAAATTCTCCCTAATGAATGGGGTCACCCCTGGTCTCTTCTGACAGACATTCACACACAAGACTTTTGCTCTTTGAATCCATGTTCAGATGCAAAGGTAACCATTTGATGCCTGGGGTATCTCGGGATCTCTGCATCCCTCTCATTACCCA